ACCTGGATGCTGCCCTTGACTTGATTGGGGAGTAGAAGAAGCTGCACATGCTCTTTTGTTGGCACACGGGACGACAGTCTTTTCACCTGCTAGCCATAGGTCTGCCTTCATATGCTGGCGCTGAATCATGCATTTGGGTGTTCTGCTCACCCCTCTCCATTTCCCTGGCATGTTCCAGCTCTTACAAGTATTGCACTTGCTAGACAGAGTCTACCTGTCTTGGTTTCTTTTATTTTTTTGCATTTAACTTCCCGAAAGTGGAGGGTGTTTCTGTCACGGGACCAGGCTATCAGTGTCTGGACAAGCCGTCACTCGTAACAGTACTGTGAATATTTGCTGCTGCTCTGAAGTGTTGGTGAAATGGTGTTTCTACAAAGTTAACTTTAGGAGACTTCATACTGGAAAAATGAGCAATGTGGTATCTGGTTTTGCTTCCCTAGAGATGGCGGTTTGGTGTGCTTTATTTTTTTTAAGACTACTGATTCTCTTTTTCCTTCTTGGTATCCTGAAAGGTTCTAGAGATCATGGTTCTTTTTGTGTTCCAACCTGGGTCTTGTAGAACAGGGGCGGGGGAGTGTGGCCCTTTTATGACTCGTGGGCTTCAACTCCCAAGAATTCCTGAGCCAGCCATGCACCATGCTGGGCTCAAGAATTCTGGGAGTTGAAGTCCACAAGTCATTAAAGGGCCACACTCCCCTACCTGTTCTAGAAGGTGGGGCTGGGAAAAGACAGCTGATGATAAGAACGCAGTGGACGCTGCAGAGACTGTGGTCTTTTCTCCTCTGCAGGTGCTAAAAGCGACTCCAGTATTTTGTCAGACAGTGGTTTACCTGAAGCAGAAATCGGGATTTTTCCTCCTAGAGGCATTAGCCCTGACCTTGAGATGTGTGATTCTGGCACAAAATTGGGCCAGAATTAAGAACTGCAGAAGGGGAAAAAGCAATAGGACATTGAAGCTCTGTGAAGAGGCTGGCTGTGGGTTATGGACTACAGAGCGCTTAAAGAGGCTAAACCAGAGGTCTCCAAACTTGGCAACTTTAAGACTTGTGGACTTCAACTCCCAGAATTCTCCAGCCAGCAGAGCTGGCTGGAGAATTCT